AGAGAGAAAGCATGCATCCAAATGGCCTTGGTATCAGTTTTCCTTGGGTTCATCTTCTTTATTAACCTAGACCCTGTAATTCCTCCTGTTACTTTATTAGTCTCACGCATAGCTTGCCCCTTTTGGTTATTTCGTAAATTCAGTATTTGCGATAGTTGCGCCCAATTCGTTACATTTCCAAAGTACAGTCGATATCCGAAAGTTGGGGTAGGCATGTCACCGGAAGTGACAGAAGTTGCGTGGATAAGCTGTTGCCAGCATGCTTTGCTGATATCCAGCGATGTATGTTGGAAGCAGCTTATCCACATAGCTTCTATCAAGTGCACGTCACTTCCGGTGACACGCAGAGTCAACCCTGCGTTGCGCAGTTCTCAACGGCCACGTTGCGCAGTTTCGCCCGATTAGACACGTTCTCTCGCGCGAACATTCACACTCGCATGCTCGAGCCGTCTGCGTCTCCGCCCATACAGCGTGCGTTGAGGATCTCTCAACGTGCCGTTGCGAACTGCGCAACGCAGGGTTGACTCTGGTGACACGCCTACTCCAACTCTCGGATATCGAGTATGTGTTCGGACGTGGTGGGCGTAGTTGATTCGAGTCGGTGTAAAGATTTTGAGTTGAAATTTATTTATATATTTGCTTTCATATATTCCTTTTTCGCCTGTAATTTCGGTGAATTTTCATTTTTTCAAGCATGAGAAGTAATCCGACACCTCTCAGCGACTTTGGGGTGCTTTTCATCCTCTGTTTTTTTTTTTGAATTCGGTTCCTGTCTGCTTTTGTCTTCCACTTTCGTGCTTATGCAAGAAAAGGTCAGGAAAAGGTCAAGATCAAAAAGAAAATAGAAAATCAATAGACAATTTGGCGCTCATAGCTTTGGGGAAAGGAAACATTCAAAACAGGGCATTTGAAAGCCGGTGGTGAGTGCTACTAGGACTAAGCCCAGATAGGGGAGATAAAAATGAGGATTACAAAAATTGCTCACATTCTCCAGAATCCCTTCTCTCTCCTTAGGCTGGTGTCAGAGTCCGCGATCCGTCGCAGGTTTCGCTGATTTTCGCGATTCACGCGATTGCGCGATTTTCGCGATTTGCGCGAAACCTGCGACGGATCGCAAAAATTGCAAGTGTGTGAACATTTGAAACACTGAATATGAAACAAGTGGAATCATGAGCAGTCGTCATTCAGCCATCACTATCAAGCAGAAGTGGCGGCAGGATTGGAGAACACCTTGCAGTATTGATCGGGCACTTGTGATTTCCGTGACCCGTCGCGTGAATCGCGCAAATCGCGAAAATCAGCGAAACCTGCGACGGATCGCGGACTCTGACACCAGCCTAACCCATTCGCGACCGCGCGGGATTGCGCAATAGCAGTACAGTCAGGAGATTTTTCTTCAATAAAATTTGAGTGGATGGAGATTTCCTCTGCCCAGGGCTGGCGTAGATGAATGAGGGTATGAAGATTCTTTTCATGGAAGAAAACTTTCCAAATTCCATTTGAAACACGGCAGCCACCGGTGGATACCATTGTCCCGAGTGAGATCTTTGGCAGCCACCGGTGGCTGCCATTGTCACGAATGGGTTAATGTGTGGTACCGCATTTATTTATCGTAACTAATTTACAGCGTTGTGCAGCCGTAGACCTCGCTACCCCTTTGTTTATTGCAATAATAAAGCATTGGAGTAGTTTTTTGATCCTGAAATTTCACTTCATCGTTCTTTTTTATGTGAAAAAGTGCAGCCATATCTTGTACTTTTCTGCTTACTTATGCAGAGCAAATAGAGTAGGAAGGTGGTATGAGCAGAGTTTAAACTCTCTTGTTGAACTCTTCTCAAATTTCATTCGAGGTTCCCAATACAATGAAGTTTCCAATGCTCTCAGAATTGCTAAAGTCGTACGTTTTTTGCATTGCTAAGTCCAACGATGCAAATGAAATGTCTTTGTTTTTCTAGACGAAACCGTGACACATTTAGAACCCGGTTCAGCTCTTCTGTGCAATTTTTGATGTTTTCGTCTTCAGGTTGTTTGTTGAGATTGATGTTTTTTTTTTGAGCTATCGGTTGTAGTGAGGCCTGACGTCTATCAAAATTGAACGCTTTTTGTTTTACATGTGGTATTGACTTCTATCTGCGTGACTGAGTGAGTACTTGTTTTACGTTGCAGGACACGATGGCTACAGAACAACAATTGGCAATGGTTGCCGAGCTGGAAATGGAGATGATGTCAGATATGTACCGGCGGATGACGGCGGCTTGTCAGGAGAAATGCATAGCAAGAACCTTCAAAGAAGGAGAACTTACTAAGGTTTGTTTTGTTTGCCTCATGTTAAGCATGCGCACATGTAATGTGGAAGAACGCATTTCTGTCCAGGGCGAGGCAGTATGTCTCGACCGTTGTGTCGCCAAGTACCTGGACGTGCATGAGAAGTTAGGGAAACGCTTGACAACCATGTCCCAAGCTGATGAAGCCGCTCTTCAAAAAGTACACGAACAACCACAGCAGTAATTTCTCCTAAAGTGATCTCGTTTTCACATATTGCACCCTCATTCCAGTGATGGTCAATCAGAAATGATTTCCTCTCCAGCAATGTTAAATGTCTTATTGTTATAGGTTTTGAGTAGGGTTTCATTAGGTTGCTCACGGTTGTGTGGCATTGTTTCAGGTTAGGATATTTTGTTATGAGAGTTTTATGAATCTGTTTGTTACTGGTGAGAAGTTCTCAGTTGCTGGATTTTTAAAGACTTCATCACTCATCTCTGTTTAATAAAGAAATTTGTTCAGAGAAGAATGTAAGGAGGAATTTGGCCTTAAAATTACTAAAACCAGGGTGTTCACGGTATTGCGGTAAGGATAAGTGGATTGAAGAGTTCAGGTTTTCATGAAAATTTTAAATGAAGTCTTAACCATTAAAAGAAGCGACTACGATAAAGAGGGAGCGCATCGGGGAAGCATATGCACCGCACGAAGCAGTCCATCGAGTACCACCCGTATCCTCTCAACTCTTCTAGAACTTATCGTAGTCGCTGCCTTTGAGAGTGGCTGCTTCAAGGCATAACACCACTTGTTATGTAAATTTCGCATGCAAGTATGTTTGAAGTGACTTACAAGAAAAAGATCCCAGGTTGCCTTGGCCATTCAATAAGAATATATATATTCCCAGATTTGCCTTCAAACGCTGATCTTGGATCTACCCTCTTCGGAAAACGAGAAGAACGTCGAGTGCAGACCACACACCACATGTGATGACGGCAGAGAAAAAAGCGACTTTTTCCCCTTACCTTCGTTTTTTGTGGTGTGTGGTCTGCACTCCACGCTCTTCTCGTTTTCCGATATAGAGGGTACGTTTCAAATCCTAAACAATGCTCTGAAGGGAGTGATGAAGCAACAGAGAGCAACGGTAGTGGTCGGGACACACTCAAGACGTCGTAGGATCGTTCTCTATCGTGTTTACTTTTGCTTTTCTCTAAAATACGGCTCAGTAGACTGGAAGCCGTTAAAACTGTGTTTTTGAAAAAAGCAAAACTGTTAACACGATAAAAGATTGGTCCCACGAACTTCTTGACTGTGAGCCCGACCACTACCATTACGCTCTTGTGCTTCCTCTCAGAGCATTGTTTAGCAGATTTGAAACGTAGATCTAAAATCAGAGTTTAAAGGAAGAATTCACGACGAAAAAGCAACTCATTCCAAATTGACCTAGGGATGGTGAGTGGTACACGAAAGAAGGAAAAACCATGAGAAACGGCCCAGAACCCGAGAAATGGGACCACTTCCTTGCCCGTTGATTTGAGCATTGATGCGACTATCATCGCTGTGCCCTCTTCAACACTACGCTCTCTCACCTATCTAATCACTCGCCACGTATAGACCTGCGGCGAGTGATCAGATGGTCGGTGGGCGTGCACTGGCCCACCGCGCCAAGATTGAGCCTTAATAGGTCGCCGAGGTCAACTCCTTCGGTGCCAATTGCGCTTCAGTCCGCACCCTTAGGAGGTCCGCGGGCCCTCAACCTAGGTGAATTACTCCTTCTTCGACCTTCATTCTAATCGTGAATTCGTCCTTAACACATTTCCGACGAAGCGATTTTTTTCCTTGTCGCGCGCATGGGACGAGACGTTTTTTGCATGCAAAGCGCCGGTAACACAGGGCAAAATCTTTTGTAGCTCTGTAAAATCTCGAAATGCACAAAATGCCTTTGACTAGAGTACTCCAGACACGTTTAGAAACAAGGAAAAGTTGTTACTACTGAATGCTGGGTGAAATTTCAGTGACATCGCCTGGCATTTTCAAACCTCAGGTTAGAATAGGTTCTGAAGGCGCAATTTCACGCATTCTTCATTTTTATTATTAATATGAGCTTTCCTTTAGATGGGTACTGGTATCCTGATCACATCTGAAATCTTCTACGAATTTTCACTCAAGAATGACGCAAAAAACTTTGCGTACCTGACGGAATGAGCTTTTGTTTGACTGTTATCTTGTTCTTCATGATCGAATAAGAGATTTAAACGAGTCATTTCAAGGTCAAAAAATTGTTTGTGAAATATTTGGCAGTTGATGGACTGGATAGGTACTTTTGTCCTGCCTATGAGTAAGACTGAGCCTACTTGACCATCATGGGAACCTAAGGCTAGAAATGGACATTCTACTGACGGTGACCTAATTAGTAAAGGTCGATATGAACAATTTTAGTGAGATTTCCAGTTTGCTGACGGTGGGAACTTTGTGGTTGTGATTCAATTGACAGCGCGTTTCTGCCACTGATAACTAATTCAGAATAAAACTCCCAGGAATTAGAAAGATCATAATTCGCAGACAAGTGTAGTAAGTTAGGACACTGAAGTAAACGTTGAAATAGAAAAGTCGCGGGTTCCATCTAAGTTTGCTTACTTTCAAGCTGTCGGTCACCATTGACCGACATCGTCCCATGTGACAGACTGCCTGTCGGTCAGCATTGACCGACATCGTCGCCAACGTGTTAAGGCAAAGATTAAGTAACTAACGAGGGGTTCGTTATTCGCCGAGTGAAAGGGTAGGGGGTCCTATCTAGAGAGACGGGCTGGCAATGAGGTCGAACAGTCAGTGTCCTGCAACGACATTCGGCGCTCTCTTGTTTTTCCAGGAGGCTTTGCTGGCACGCGTGCAGCTCTTCAAGAGAGTCACACAGGCAAGAGCTCCATGGGAGCACTAGAGCATGTCGAGCGTTATAACTCTTACTATCAGCCATTGTTATCCCTAGTACACGGACGACGCTTTCACTCGACAGCATAGATCAATATTATAGAATTACATTACACTCGAAGATTACAATAGCCAAAAACTTGGTTACAGCGTAGTGCAAAAACATGGTCTGCTCCTTCCATGGATTGAACCATTCCTGAAATCCAAGGAGAACAAAGTGTAGAGCAGTTCATGGGAAAGTGAAACAAGAGTACCATATAACAGTACAATGCAACTCAATCAGGATACTAACACCTTCTTCAGGAAAACAGAAGACTTTCAAATGCGAGTGCGAACTTCTGCCCACAGATAGGTGCACGGCGTATACCCGAGCAGGCGTTTTTCCCATAAAAACGCCTTCTCTGTCAGCGGCCGTAAGCAGACAAACTTTCTGAAGAGAGTTTCGATGCTTTCAAATAAAATCTAAGCGAAACAAAGTGTAGCGAATTTGCTGAATTGAGTTCTAGAGACGCCGTAGGAAAATTGAGGCAGAAGAAAGAATTTCAGGAAATTTCACAGTTGTTATGAAGTACTCTTCGAGTGGATTCTAACAGTCTTTACCGCTTCTCATCACATTAATTTTGAAGGAAGTTAAGATGACTATCTCTTACGGCCCATTTTTCTTTTCTCACCTTTCTCTGGCGCTTACACGGCCATGCCCCTCTGCTTTCTTTCGTCGTTACTGAGGTGCTTATTCACCACATTTCAAGCGTTAGTCAGTGCCCTCAGTGGATGTTTACAGACAATTTGTGCGGCTGTGTCGTTAAAGAACTGTCACATTAAGCGCTTCACTGGCACAAGAAACCGTCGGAAAAAACTGGACGCCAGACAGATGCTAAGAAAAGAATGTGGAACTTGAGACAAATGTGTCCGCATCTTTCCGCACACGTGACTCTTTCGAGGTTCGAATTGGAACACTTGTTTCAAATTTGAAAAGCTGCACGCAACCTGCTCTTGCAACTGATGTTGTTATGAACAAAACATTTGGTTTGAGGCAGAACTTGAACGCACACTAACGCACCACCCCAGGGGCCGTGCCTTACCATTGCGCTCCCCTGCTTACGTTTCCACAGCTTTACGTTGATTTATCTACCAGTTTTATAGAGAAACATTTGAGTAATGAGACACTTTGATACAATATAATATTTAACACATTCACGCCGATGGCCGCCCATATGGGCTGCCAACAACATGCGCTCCTGGGACGATGGCATATATGGGCTGCCAACTGATAATCGCTTGCCAGGCGCTAGGAATGGACAGATAGGTGGGCAAACCTCGTAATCGAGTGTAAAATGCTTTGGGGTAAAAGTGATACATCGCTCTCTTTTCGTAAACACTATTTTATCGTTCGATCGAAATCCTAACATATTATCTTTTCGATAATCTTTACAGCATTTGGAGCATGCAGATAACTTGGAAATTCTGTGTCGACAACCTTACATCCGCCTTTCTGTCATTACAAAAACCAAAACGCTGCCAGTATATCGGCGGTCGAGCGGCGCGCGCCCAAAAATCCCGCCGGCACGCCTGTTCCCAGCTCACCGAAAAGTGGAAAAGGTGCGTCGTCTGTGAATGTGTTAATATAAATAACGGCTGAGAAATGTGAGGCTTCCGTTAGTGTAATGAATGAGCTTGTGCTCGGAGAGAAGAACGCAAGGTGGTCAACATTTCACTCCCTCGGAACCGGAGTCCTTCTTATCACCTTAGGCGACTCCTCCAGATACACACCATTTGCTGAAATGCTCGGCTGCGACAGAACAAACACTATCTTGCACACAACCAAAGAAGTCATACGTACGAGTGTTTCGGTACGTTTTCTTTATTAATACGAATCCAAAAGGCGGGATCTAACCAGCGAAAGTCGTTCAGATCTAGGTGAAGAATTCAAAAACTGTTTGTTGGTAATGGTCGCCTGGCAATCTCCGATTGGTTCCTTCGCTTCTGTTTTGACCTTCGCAGTTGTTAATTGTGAAATCTTATATATGCTCGAACGTCTTCGAACACAATCGTCGTTTATTTCCAAAGAGCTCACATTGTTCGGAGCTCTAGCTTGTAACCTACTCGCTATCCAATTCGTTACGTTTCCTCACATATGACTTCATTCATACATCGACCAGGCCCGCGATAATCCCGCGTCGAAACGGTCGACTCAATAAAGACCACCACACATAAACAAACCCGGAGCAAAACCGTATCAAGACACGTTTCTCTTCTTCTTGTAGGCCGCCACGTATCGCGAGTTTGAAACTGCATGGGTACCGCCCCAGGAAGCTTCCTGTCAG